GGTTCAGTCCCTGAGGAGGAGCTGTGTCCATGGGGAAGGAGTTGTGTCTGTGGGGAAGGAGCTACATCCATATGGAAAGGGTTCAGTCCCTGGGGAAGGAGTTGTGTCCCTGAGGAAGGGGTTCAGTCCCTGGGGAAGGCACTGTGTCCATGGAGAAGGAGCTGTGTCCATGGGAACCGGGCTGTGTCCATGGGGAAAGGGTTCAGTCCCTGTGGAAGGCACTAGGAAAGGGGCTGTGTCCATGGGGAAGGGATTCAGTCCCTGGGGAAGGGGTTGTATCCCATGGAATTCCTGACCCCAGCAGTCAAGCTCTGGGTTGTGCAGCCCTGCCCAAGCTCCAGCCCAGCCCTGCTCCTAGCTGGGGCTGGAATGTACAATGCTCCAGCTGATCCCAACAGAGATGTACTGGAATTGATGCTGACATCTATGCACAGGGACAACTCTGCAGCTCTCAGCAAGACCTGCAAGACCCTCCTGCTCCTGGTGTGCCAGATCCTTCCCAAGGTCCCTCAGGCTCCAATCCCCAATGTCCAGCTCCTTCCAGCAAGTTTGGCCCTTGTGCTGATCAATGAAGGAGCAAATCTGCCCTGCTGAGGTGAGGCCTCACCTGCAGCACTGCCTCCAGCTCTAAGGCCCAACAGGAGGACACAGATGCTGGAGAGAGCTCACAGTGAGAGGTGACCTGGTGTAGCCATTGGATGTGCAAGTGCAGCAGCCATGGATTGGCATTCAGGAACCAACTGGGCTTCCTGCTTCAAAACAAACATGTACTCCTGGTAGATTTGGCTGAATTAGGTTTAATTTCATAATCTACATCTGTACAACACTGTACAAAATGTGATCAAAGAGAACATTGCAGCCCCACGGGAGTGTTTGGCTGAGGATCCAGAAGCTCTGAGGCTTTGACCTATTCACTCCCATCATCAAAGCATCTGTGGTGCTCAGCCCACAACACCTTCCTGCAGCCACCAGACCAGTTTTGCTTTCTCAGTGGTGGAATCCCTGAGCCATGGCAGAAGGTCTCTGCTGTTATTTCTGCTCCCACGTGGAAGATTTCTAACCCCTTCTTGCACTAGGCAAAACCCTTCCAGCTCTGCCATGAGGCTGTTGTGATCCATGGTGTGATCATGTTACTGCTGGAGGAGTTTAGGGCTGACACAGCCTTTGTACAGCACTTGCTCTAGGGGTTTAAGCCCAGCATTGCTCTGCTCACACTCTACAGCTGGATGCATCTCTGCTTTCATTCCCTGTTTGCACTGTGAGCAGCACTGCCCATGCCATGGGCTGGGAGTTCCTCTCTTGCCTAGATATGGACGTGGGGATATTCTTTTTTAACTTGAAGGTTAAGGGAAATAACACACTTAGCTGCTGTTGGTTGTGGAACACATGCAGAGCTGCTTCTAGCAGAACCTGCTGAGAGTCACATGGAATCCAAAGTGATTTTTTGCCTAAGAAACCATATGGAAAAGGCCAAGTTCAGACATCTCTGGTGCCCAAATATCCCTGTGCAGCCTGAGAGCAGTGGGTAGTGTGGCAGGATGGTCTCTCCTGTGTTCTCCATGGAAAGTTTCATTTTGGCCAATGATTTTTCCCTCTCCTCTGTGTTCCTGAAGTTCTAATCTGTGTGTTAAAGGGCTGTGGAAAGTCATGATCATTACACAAAACAACAATTCTCTTCAAGCTTTTTCCGCCTCCAGGTTGTGGCTACAATGTAGGATCATGTTCAAAATGCAATTCCTGGATCTGCCAAATAGTCTCCTCACATAAAGCACATCTGAAAGTCAACACATGGAGCAGCCTGGACCTTCTCACTCACAGGGTAGTGCAGCAATGTTCTCAGCAGGGTCAGGCTACAGGGTGGAGTCTGAAAATGAGATAGAAAGACAAAGTAGCTCAGTGTTGCAATGAGGGAGATGATAAACAGCCTGGAAGGTTCCCTGGAAGGAGCTGAACTGTTCCAGAACCAAAAAGTCCAATGTCTGCACAAGGCTCACAGAGGTTTAGACCCATTTCTCCACTCCTATAATCCCCCTGAGGTATTTTGCATTAACAGGCAAAGCTTTGGCTCGAAGTAAAGGATATTTCACTGAGTGCAATCACCAGTACTGATTCAGAATATATCCAGGACTCCCTCCTCAGTCAATCCCACTGGTCCTTCATTCCCATCAGGATCCCAATGACCCTGACCTTATCCCTCTCTTTCCTCCCTTCTCATTGCCTTTGGCCATCACCAGCAGCTTTGCCCTCACTACTTCACCTCTGGCAGGTCTTCTGTCCTGCAGCTCCTGCACTGGAGACAAATCTAACCCAGATATTATCTTACCCAATGAAGATGGGATTGTTCTTTCTAGGAGATTTGCTCAAGGTCACCCAAAACTTTTGACTCATGTAGAATTCAAGTGGTTTCCTCACTTCGGCCTTTCAGTTTCTAGTTGTGTTTCATACTTGACCACTAGTTGGATGGTTAGAAGTTCAACAGAGCTCTCCAAGTGTCACTGCCTTGCAGAGATTGCTCTTGGGTACTATCTTTAAGGCACTTGGCAGCAATGACACATCTTGACACCACCCAGGGGAGGAAGCAGCAGTGCAGACTCACCTTTGATGGCAAGGAAGGCTTTGCTGAATGCCTGACCCACTTCATTGGTGGCTTCTACCATGTACTCCCCTACATCCTGCTTTGTGACCCCCAGGATGACCAGGGAGCACACCCCAAAGTCGTTTGTGCAGAAGTAGTTAGGATCATTGGAGAGGTCTCTGTTGTCCTTGTACCAGGTGACTTTAGGGGGTGGGTGACCCCCAACAGCACAGCTCATGTGGCACTCACTGCCTGAGACCACCACGTGAGGCTTCAGGGGGACAAGGAATCTGGGGTGCTGGTTCTGGTTAACTCCTCTGTACTTCTGGGGTTTGACTTGAAATTCAGCTGTAAAGAATCACACAGTCACAGAGTCAATCAAGTGGGAAAAGAGCTCTGAGATCCACAAATCCAACCTATGACCTAACACCACCATGACAACTAGACCATGGCACTGAGAGCCATATCCAGACTCTCCTTAAATAAACAGCAACGTAAAAACACACTCAAACACTCTCACAGCAGTGAACTTGGGGGGTACAGGGTTGGTGTCAGACGTACAGGGCTGGATTCAGACAGGGGGTACAGACTGGTTTCAGTCCAGGACTGGTTTCAGTTAAGGTTACAGGCTGGATTGAGTTAGGGTCACACACTGGTTTCAATCAGGAGTCACACACTGGTTTCATTTGGGGTCACACACTGGTTTCAGTCAGGAGGTACAGACTGGTTTCAGTCAGGGTCACACATTTGTTTCAGTCAAGGGTTGCACACTGGATTCATTTGGGGTTACACACTGGTTTCAGTCAGGGGGTTACACACTGGTTTCAGTTGGGGTCCCACACTGGTTTCAGTCAGGGGCACAGAGTCACACACTGGATTCAGTCTGGGTTACACACTGGTTTCAGTCCTAGACTGGTTTCAATCAGGGGTCACACACTGGTTTCAGTTGGGGTCACAGTTTCAGTCAGGAGGTACAGACTGGTTTCAGTCAGGGTCACACATTTGTTTCAGTCAAGGGTTGCACACTGGATTCATTTGGGGTTACACACTGGTTTCAGTCAGGGGGTTACACACTGGTTTCAGTTGGGGTCCCACACTGGTTTCAGTCAGGGTCACACACTGGTTTCAGCCCAGCACTGGTTTCAGTCAGGGTCCCACACTGGATTCAGTCAGGGTCCCACACTGGTTTCAGTCAGGGTCCCACACTGGATTCAGTCAGGGTCCCACACTGGATTCAGTCGGGTTCACACACTGGTTTCAGTTGGGGTCACACACTGGTTTCAGTCAGGGGATCACACACTGGATTCATTTGGGGTGACATACTGGTTTCAGTCAGGGAGTTACACACTGGTTTCAGTCATTTGTTTGTGCAGAGTGTCTGGAATTCTGCACTGCAAATTCCCAGGGATACTGTGCCCCTCTGAACTTTAACCTGTGCTGCTTCCCAGATTACCCAGAATTTAACTTGGAGCTCAGAAACTTTGGTTTCAGCCAAACCTAAGCCTCAGGTTGTGCTGGGAGTTCCTTTTGTGGCAAACTGCAGGATCTACCAGCTGTGACTGAAGGCTCGTGGATCCTGCACAATGCCCGTGCAGAAGGGACAAGCCATCCCTGCCACACTGGAACCTCTCAGGGTATCTCTATGCATTCTTATTCTGGGCAACTAAATCTTCCCAAGGAGGAGAGACCCACTGCAGGGTTGGCTGTCAGAAGCAAGGAAAGAGACAAACACACAGAAATAGTGGTAAAAGCTGCTTTACCCTTTGCCTTCCGAATCCTCCAGGGCTGCACAGTCTCGGAGGGATCACTGGCTCCCAGGCTGTTTTTGGCCATAACCCTGAAGTAGTAGTCCCTGCCTGGGATCAGGGTGGTGAAGGTGAACTTGTTGTTGTAGATTAGGTCACCCACCACACGCCACATCCCCTTCTGGGATTCACGTTTCAGGACAGTGTAGTAGAGGTTCTTCTCCCACTTCTCGGATGCTGATGGTTCCCAGGCCACTGTCACAGTGTTTGGCACATTCTCTTCCAAATGAATAGCTCCAGGAGACTGTGGGATGTCTGTCAGAGGAAGGCAAATAACATCACAGATGGAAAGGGACACAGTAAATAATCCTGAACCTCCTTTTTGTTAGGAGCTGCAGGGACAGGACAAGGAGGAATGGGGAGAAATTGAAAGGGGAAATTGAGATTGGATCTTCAAAAGATGTTTTCCCTGTGAGGGTGGTGAGACACTGGCACAGGTTGCCCAGGGAGGCTGTGGATGCCCCAACCCTGGCAGTGTTTCATTCCAGGTTGGCTAAAGCCTTGAGCAACCTGCTCTGGTGGGAGGTGTCCCTGCCCAGGGCAGGGGGTTGGCACTGGATGATCTTTAAGGTCCATTCCAACCCCTTAACACACTACGACACTATGAAACTTTGAGTCTATTCTATCCTGGTCATTAGAAGGGACACCTAATGAGGCATTAGATGGAACATCTAAAGGGACATAGTAAACATCCTGGTCATTAGAAGGGACAAAATTGGATTCCTTCTCCAGTCACACAAAGGCAGGTGCTATGAACTGAGCTGCTGCTGCAGCACATCTGCATTGCTGCTGGTTTTCCTGGGCTTCCCTGCTGCTTCCAGGTCTCTGCTCCCTATATATAGAATCACAGAATCCCAGACTGGTTTGGGTTGGAAGGACCTTAAAGCTCATCCAGTCCCAGCCCCTGCCATAGGTAGGGACACCTTCCACCAGCACAGGTTGCTCCAAGCCCTGTCCGACCTGGCCTGGAACACTCCCAGGGATGGAGCAGCCACAGCTGCTCTGGGCAACCTGTGCCAGTGTCTCATTACCCTCACAGGGAGGAATTTTTCCCTGATATCCAGTCTAAACATACCCTCCTTCAGTTAAAACTGTTGCTCCATCTCCTGTCACTGCAGGTGCTGGTAAAAAGTCTTTGTCAGGCCTTATGATCCCCCTGTATATATTGAAAGGCCACAATAAGGTCTCCACAGAGCCTTCTCTTCTCCAGGCTAAACCACGGCAACTGTTTCAGCCTTTCTTCACAGGAGAGGTGTTCCAGCCCTCATCATTTCCATGGCCTCCTCTGGATCTGCTGGAACAGGTCCATGCCTGTCATGTACTGGGCACCCAGAGCTGGGCACTGAACTCCAGGTGGGGAGGTGGGGTGGGGTAGAGGGGAAGAATCACCTCTTGACCTTCTGGCCGTACATACTTCTTTTTATGCAGCCAGCCCAGGCTACAACATGGCTTTCTGCAAGTGCACCTACCTGACTCATGTCCAATTTGCCATCTGCCCATATCCCCATGTCCTTTTCTGCAGGGCTGCTCTTAATCTTTCGCCCTCTGTATTGGGGGTTGTCCCAAAACAGGTGTGGGACCTTGCTCTTGGGCTTGTTGACCTTCATGAGGTTCAGGTGGACCCATTCCTTAGGCCTGTCAAGGTTCCTTCTAGAACCAACTGCACAGCTCAGCTTGGTGTCATCCACAAGCTTGCTGGGGGCATGTTCAATCCCACTGTCGATGAGGAGCTTGTTTTTTCCAGGCTGGACACCCCCAGCCCCCCCAGCCTGTCTCAATGGCAGAGGAGCTCCAGCCCTTGGAGCATCTCCATGGCCTCCTCTGGAGTTGCTCCAGCATCTCTACATCCTTCCTATGCTGGGGTCCTCAGAGCTGGAGGCAGCTCTGCAGGTGAGGTCTCACCTGAGCAGGGCAGAGGGGCAGAATCCCTCCCTCCCCTGCTGCCACCACACATGGTTGAGGTGTATTGAACATCTCATCCACCAACACCCCACGTCCTTCCCTTCAGGTCTGCTCAGTCCCTTCACCCCCAGCCTGGATTGGTCCTGGAGGTTACTGCTGTGTGTGTACAGAGACTCACCTGTGATTTGAACCTGGAAGCTGAAGGTTTCTCTCTTCCCCAGGCCGTTCTGGAGCTCCACGGTGTAGGTGCCGCTGTGGGAGAACTCAGCTGCCCCAATCAGCAGTTGGATGGTTCCATCCTCTGTGCTTATGGCAGCCTGGCTGGGAAGAGGGAGCCCATCCTTCAACCAGGTCACCACTGGGTCTGGAGATCCCTGTAAAGAACAACAGGAGTCACAACACACTTGTTTCACCTCCAGATTGTGTCTTTACCTCTTTAGCTTCATTATCTCAGCCCAAAAGTGCACCTACAGATCACAGTAAAGGGAGAGTTGGAACTATGGATCCAAGATGGGTCTAAGAGCTCTGGTCTGCTCTGAAGGGACTTTGTAACTGTTTCCTTTCTCAGTATCTTTTAAGGATGTTACTGCAGGAAAGGGTGAAAGGGTGATTAGAGCCTGGAATGTGCTGCCCAGGAAGGTGGTGGAGTCACCATCCCTGGAGGTGTTTAAGGATGGACTGGACATGGTACTTAGTGCCCTGGTCTAGTTGACAGGTGATGTTAGGTCATAGGTTGGACTCGATGATCTCAGAGGTCTTTTCCACCCTAATTGATTCTGTGTTTCTCTAAGGTGCTCAGTACTATGCCAACCAAGCTGTGCCAGACCAAGCACAGATGACATCAGGAGTTCATATTTTCTCCTTTTAAATAAAGATCTCTTGGGTTTGGATAGAATAAACATCCTCAATGTCTTTATTTCCCTTGTACCATCTTTGGTCTGTAAGGTCCAAGAGATTAGGAGAAAGACCAGCTAATTCACACACTTCACCTTCATCAACCTCCTCTTGATGTCCCAGACTTTACAGAATAATAGAATCTTTTAGGATGGAAAAGACCTCCAAGAACATCAAGTCCAACCTGTGACCCATCACCACCTTGTCAAATAGACCAGAGCACTGAGTGCCACATCCAGTTGTTTCTTGAACACCTCCAGGGGTGGTGACTCCACCACCTCCCTGGGCAGCACATTCCAATGCCTGACAGCCCTTTCCATGAAGAAAATCCTGTGCTGTTCCAAGCTTCTGCCAAAGCACATGGAAATTCTGTCAGTGCCTGCCTGTTTCTCAAGTCATAGAGCTCAAAGCCTGATGCTAAGTGAGACACTGTCAAGAAGGTGTTGCTAGAAATGCTACCCCAAGGCCTTCTGAAGGAGTCAGTGGGAAATAACTGATTGTTAAGTCTGACAGAGCAGTACCAGGTGATAATATTGATAAACATCACAGTATGTTAAGGGGTTGGAATGGACTTAGAGATCATCCAGTGCCAACCCCCTGCCCTGGGCAGGGACACCTCCCACCACAGCAGGTTGCTCAAGGTTTCATCCAACCTGGAATGAACATTCCCAGGGTTGGTGCAGCCACAGCCTCCTTGGGGCATCCACAGCCTCCATGGTGCATCCACAGCTTCCTTGGGGCATCCACAGCTTCTTTGGGGCAACCATAACCTCCTTGAGGCATTCACAACCTCCCTGGGCAACGCAACCTGTGGCCTCCCCACCCTCACAGTACAAAAGGTTGGGTGGACAGCATTGTGCCATGTTTGCAGAGGTCACTGAGGGGCCATAATCTCATCAAACACTTAGGCCAAGAGTGACAGTTGAATTCTTGCCCATGTTCTCCTCACACAGGAAGGACACAGAGCACAGGCTCTGGGGAAAGGACCTGCCCAGTGAAATTCCATGATGTGAAAGCAGTGGCTGTTGACTTCCAGCATGAAACCAGGTGTGGAGTTCACAGAAACACAATCAGTCCTTACCTCAAAGGGAATTTTCACCTTGATGGCATTTCCTGCTCTTACAACCAGGAGGCTTTTCACCGTGGCATCTATTAGCAACCTGGGGGGAACTAAAGAAGACAGGGATTACCCCAAGGAGTTCTGTGTTAGTGCAATCCCAGGTGTGTGACACCCAGTGCCTCTCCCACAGCTGAGGGTGAGGAGCTCCCCATGGTGCTGTGGAACAAACCTCCCTGAGCCAGGCCCAGCCTTTCCACCTTTTCACTGCTCTTTCTTTACCACTAGAACTAAACGAGGGGAAATGCTGTAAAAACACATTCACAGCAATCTCTGTATTCATGTGCTGTCTCAGTCAGGGAGAAATTGGCACTTTCACACACAATTGACAATATTTTCCTTTTCTCTTTCCATCAGTACAACATATCATGGTAGTTAGGATTTTTATAAAGATGCCAAATCCAACAGAGATAAATTGGATTTAGTGTTTCCAGTTTAAAATGGAAAAAATTCTTCCCAGATGGACTTAGTTTATCCATTGATTGACTGATTATAAGAGGAGTCTCCAGGCACAAGCCAAAAGGAGATGTTTTGACTTAGGACCCAAGTTAAGGAGATGAATCCATCACTGAATTAGCTCTTACTCCTGCAGTTCTCTCAGTTCTGTAATATCTCTTACTATTCCATTCCTTTCCTTTCCATTCTATTCTCTGTCTCTATTCTATAACCTCTTAATTCTGCAACATTCCCAAACAACAGGAAAAAACCCTACAGATTTTAAATAAAGAAGGAAAAGTGAAACTGGTGAAAACTTTCCAACTAGACAACAAAGAAGGAAAATAAAGTATCCCAAAACTAACCTAAACTTGTGATTTCAGAGAATGAAATATTTTAGTTCCACAGGACTGGATGAAAATAGAGTGAATACTCTGTCCCCTGTGGGCGGGATAAGGGTGTGTGGGCTCTGTCTGGGGGCTCTGGTGTGGCTCTGCACAGGGGCAAAAGGGAAGCCCAAGGAGAAAATAAGAGTTTTGGGGGTTCTTTTGCCATGATGAGCATCTAACATGAGCTGAACTCTGTGCATGGCACAGCTGATATCAGTCACAGCTTCAGAATGTCCTGGGGAGGTGAGCAGATAACATCACCCTGCAGAGGAGCAATGTGGTGCTCATCCTGCTCTTCACCTGGGGCTTGAAAGAAGCTCATCCCAGTGACCTCCAGCCCTGCTGCTCCTGCTCCCTGGGAGTGACCCCATTCCCTCTGGACTCAGCCCACTGACTCACCCACAGGGGCAGCAGCTTTGACACAGGCCTCGAGCTCTGTGGCTTCTCCTGGGCCACTGTCATTGAGGGCCCTCACACGCAGGAGGTACTTCTCCTTGGCTTGGAGGCCCTTGACTGTGCAGGTGGTGGTCTCTGCAGAAAGGGTGAGGCATTTGGTCCAGCTGAGGCTGTTTGAAGGCCTCATCTCCACCTCATAGCCTTTCACATCACTCCCATCCTTTGCTTCAGGTCTGTTCCATGTCAAGGTGACAGAGGAGCTGTCACTGCTGCTCACCTTGAGGTCCTGCACTTGACCTGGAGATTCTGCAAAGAGACATTTTATTTAAGCTGTTCTGCTAGGATTTCTGTCCCTCTTTTTTAGTCACTTCCTGAGATTCCTCAACATGCTTGAAGTGCACTGGACACCCACCCTGCTGTCTTGCTCCCACCTTGTCCCAACTGGATTCGTGTGCCTGCTCCTGCCAGTCATGCAGTGCATCCCACAGCACTCCTGATAGTCTGCAGCCCATCCTGAGCACTTCTCCACACTGCACATATCCCACACCAGAAGTTTGCCATGTCTTGACATGGACATCCCCCAGGGAAACCTTCCATCCCTTCCTCAAGCTGATTCTCAGCCATGAAACATTCCCTGATTGTTTGGTCTTTGCCTTCACATACTTCTATAGAGCATTTCAGAACATCATCACTGACACCCCCAGGCTAGGTTCAGCTCCAGAGAAGGGCAGGGCAGGGCACTCACTCATGGGGTCCCTTGCAAAGACAGGCTGAGAGGGGGCACTGAGGTCTCCTGTGCCAGAGGCATTGACAGCAGCCACACGGAATTCATACTGCAGCCCCTGCTTGAGGCTGGTCACCTTCAGCTTCTTCTCTGCAGAAAGAAACACGTTGGCTCAGGTGAGCTGTGCCCCAGCAGGAAAGGTGAGACAACAAATGTTACTGCAGGTGGAATTGTGGACTGAATGATTCTCAGGAGCTCTGTATAAATGCTGTCACTGATTCCCCTACCCCTCCCTATCCAAGGGATTGTGTGCTGCTGGGATGTGTTCAGTGTGTTCCTTCCAAATCAACCTGCACTTGAATTACAGAATCACAGAGTCGTTTAGTTGGAAAAGACCTCTGAGATCATTGAGTCCAATCTGTGACCCATCACTACCTTGTCAACTAGAGCAGTGCACTGAATGCCACCTCCAGTCATCCCTGAAAGACCTCAGAGGTCTTTTCCAACCTAATTGATTCTCTGATTCTGTAGAGGGTGGAAATGCAAGATCTCACCTAACAAACCAGAGCACTGAGTGCCATGTCCAGTCATTCCCTGAACACCTCCAGGGATGGTGACTCCATCATCTCCCTGGGCAGCCCCTTCCAATGCCTGACAGCCCTTCCCATGAAGGAATTCCTCCTGATGTCCAATCTGCACCTCCCCTGGCACAGCTTGAGGCTGTTTCTTCTTGTCCGGTTGTTTCCTGAGAGCAGAACCTGATCCCTACTTGGCTGCACCTCCTGTCAGGGGGTTGGAGAGAGCAGAAGATTTCCCAAGTCTCCTTTTCTCCAGGCTGAGCCCCCACAGCTCCCTCAGGAGTTCTCCAGACCCTTCTCCTGCTGCTCCAGCCCCGTCCCCAGCTCCATTCCCTTCTCTGGACACTCTCCAGCAGCTCAATGTTCTTCTTGTCCTGAGGGGCTCAACACTGGACACAGGACTTGAGGTGTGACCTCACTGGTGCTACTGAGAGCTATTAAGTCAGGCAAAGGATACATCCTGCTTTCCTCTTGGGATAATCCTAAACCCTCTCTACCTGGTTAGTCCCAGTTTGCACCTGATGGATGATGCTGCTAGAGTCTAAAGACATTCTGGGGCTCAGACACATCACTTGGGTCTCTTTATATCCCTTGCATTATGAAGTCCTGTCTGTAGGACTAAGGGCAGTGGCTCTGAAGACATCAGTGGATCTATAGAGGAGCTACACCCCAGGAAGCAGCAGTGAGCTGCTCTGTGCTCTTCTCCAGTCACATGCACCCAACCTAGACAATACCATCACCCTCCTCCCAGGCACTCAGCTGTGTACAAACCCAAGAGCTTTGCTGTGGCAGAGCCATGAAACCTTAGTTGTGAGGAAAATGTAGTTGTGAGACAACTACACACTAGAGCTGAGAGAAACAGAAGGTAGAACTTCAGACAGGGTGAGATGGTTGTGATGGGGCCAGGCAGCAGCTCAGGGATTCATAGCATCATGGTCTGATAGTGTCATGGTGTGTCAAGGGGCTGGAATGGACCTTAGAGACCATCTAGTCCCAACCCCCTGCCCTGGGCAGGGACACCTCCCACCAGAGCAGAGGAAAAGCACTGATGTGAAAAGGTGTGAGATCCTAACCAGCCCCTAGAGCTTTCCAAGGGTGCCAGGGTGTACAGGATGTGGGTCACCCACCTCTGACAGGGACCTTGCTGACTGGCAGCCACGTCACAGTGCCCTTCTTGCGCTTCTGCACAACATAGCCCACGATCTGTGAGGTGCCAGTTTTACCAGGAGCTTTCCAGGAGATTGTGATGCTGTCCTTGGTGGCACTGACAATCTCAGGGGGATCTGGGGCTCCAGGAGAAGCTAGAAAGAGATCAGGCTTCCATCATTAGCAGTTATGTCTTACTGGAAGATAGTTCTGTGTTTTCTTTCAGTTCCCCCAAGGTGTTCCTATGGATGTGCTTTGAACTCCTGACTGAGCCCTGAAGCTGTGGATCTTGTTCCACACATAAACATCTTCTAGCATCGACCTTGTTCCTGAGATTTGACCTCACATCACACATAAACACCTTCTAGCATGGACCTTGTTCCTGAGATTTGACCTCACAAATGACCTGCTGTCACCAATTCCACCATCAGCCTAAGAAGAGGATTGTGCCATTCTGACATGGCAGGAACAGTCAGTGTTATTCCTGCTTTTCCTGGCAGAAACTGCTAACAGAAAGGATTTTCTTAACCCTCTGCTAAGGAGTTCAACATACATCAGCATGGGAAGGAGAGTGGAGAAAGAAGAAAATTAGAACTGAACAAGAGCATTGGTGTCTCTCCAGTACTGCATTATTGCTCATGACAAAACTGCTCCAGGATTTAAACTCACTGAAGGACAAAGACTGTTTGTAAATCAGGGGATGGAATGGTCATGCTGAAAAAAGCTGCACACAGAGACACTTCTGTGCCTATGGAGGTAAGAAAAGGTCTCACACATTCCCATGGTAGCTACACCTGAAAAAAATTTCCTTTGATCTTGCTGCATATTGCATTTCCCCTATGGAATTTGATTCCCAATTCAGCATGGAGCAGAGCCAAGCACATAACTCCAGCTCAGCATCACCAGAACCTACACTAAACTGCTGTTCCTGCTGTGCAACCCCCAGGGAGCTGTGTGAAGGCTCCACAGCCAGGAGTCAAGTTTAGATCTGGGGCAACATCCCAAATGCAGAGAGTTTTGTTTGATGGCAGCTTTGAGAATGGATTTCCCCAACTGAAGTATGAATGATGAAAAGTTCTCCTTACCTTTGCCAAGAGCCTTCACTTCACCTGACTCCAGGGCATCACTCGCTCCCTCAGCACTCACAGCTCTCACCCTGAAGTAGTAGCTTGAGTCTTCCTCCACTTTGTTGGTAGTGAAGGTGGTGCAGCTCCTGGGGGTCTCTCCCAAAGTCTCCCAGTCGTTCCTGCCCACCTGCTGCCTCTCCACAATGTACCTCTGCACTGGTTTGCCCCCATCATCCTTCGGGGGCTGCCAGTGGATGGTGATGTTGTTTGCAGAACTTTCCACTTTGATAGGCCCTGCTGGTGGCTGTGGCTTGTCTGCAAAGATGGACAGAGAGATGGGGAGTTGGCTCCACAGCCACAAGTGCTCCTGGTTTGGAGCAGACACTGTCTTGCTCACCAGCTGGGAGGCAGTTCCTGATGGAATGCAGGCATAGCAGCAGAGTGAGCACTGCTGATGGAAGGGGGAGCCAGGCCCTTGCTCTTGGGGGACTAACTGTTCTCATCAGCTGCTTGCACAGGAAGAACACCATTTCTGGTCTTCCAAAGGAGCACAGGCATTTATGGTAGGGCTGAATTTGGCCTTGATAACCTCTTTTAGACTTGCCTGTTGTGCACAGTCCCATCTCCCACAGCCTCCCAACAGACTTGACTCAGCTGCTGAGGCTGTGCAAAACCACACTAGATAGGTACCACCTTGTACTAAAGGCAAGAAGCATGGCACAGTCTTCCCTTGTACCCTGATTTAGTGGCAAAATACAATGTTGTTTCTCTTGAAATGCCCAGGAGCTCCATATGGGATCATCACCAGTGTCAATGGGTTTGCTGCCCAAGCTTTACACTGCAAGCCACGATGGATGTCACAGGGCTCTTACCTAGCACCACAAGCTTTAAGTTGATCTCCAGGACTCCACTGTCATTCTTCAGCCTGACTTTGTACTCCCCACAGTCCTTCCTCTCGCTGCTGGGGATGGACAGCATGGTGTAGGTGTCTGTTTTATCCACACGGATCCGTGTGTCATCGGCCAACTCCATCTTGTCCTTCAGCCACGCTGCCCTCACAGGCAGCCTCCCCTCGAAGGGGATCTTGATCCTCACTGCCTGCCCAGCCTTGGCCACAGTGGGGACACTGCTTAAGTTCTTGAGGAGAACTTTGTCAACCTGTGGAGGATCTAAGCAGGTGATACAAGGTCATTAAAAACTGCAGTTCCAAGAATGTGAGCTCTTGGAGGGAAGAGTTTCCCTCATGATACTGTCAGGGATGCTAAGAAGCTCATGACACTTGGACCTGCAGCTTTAGTTGCATGTTCAGTACATCACAAACATGGACTTTGCTACAGGCTAATTGTCACAAAGTGTTTGTGGTAGAGAAGGTTGTGTGGAGACTTCAGAGCAACCTGGTAGGAGCTGCTTCCTGCCTCACCAGGGAAGCTGCAGAGGGACTCTTGGATAGGAACTGCAGGGACAGGACAAGGAGGAATGGGGAGAAACTGAAAGAGGGAAAGTTAGACTAGATATTAGGAAGAAGTTTTTCCTGTGTGGGTGGTGAGACACTGGCACAGGTTGCCCAGGGAGGCTGTGGCTGCCCCAACCCTGGCAGTGTTCACAGTCAGGTTGGCTAAAGCCTTGAGCAACCTGCTCTGGTGGGAGGTGTCCCTGCCCAGGGCAGGGGGTTGGGGGTGCATGACCTCTAAGGTTCATTCCAACCCCTCAACATACTATGAAACTATGGTATCACACTGACCTTTCACTGGAGAAAATTTGTCATAGGCAACACACTAAATGACAGACACCAAACTGAGTGTGAGTGTGGATCTGCCTGAGGGTAGGAAAGCTCTACAGGGAGACCTGGACAGAGTAATCTGTGAGCTGAGGACAACTGCAGGAGGGTCAATCAGGCTCAGTGCTGGTCCTGCCCTTGGGACACAACAACCCCCACAGAGCTCCAGGCTGGGGGAGGAGAGGCTGGAGAGGTGTTGGTCACAAAGGGACTTGGCAGTGCTGGTGGCAGCAGCTCAGTGTGAGCCAACAGTGTGACCAGGTGGCCAAGGAGGCCAAGGGCATCTTGGCCTGGAGCAAGGACAGTGTGGCAGCAGGACTAGGGCAGTGCTCATCCCTCTGGACTGGGCACTGGGGAGGTCACAGCTCAGTGCTGGGGTCAGGTTTGGGCACTCACTGCAAAAAAGGACATTGAGGCACTGGAGAGAGTACAGAGAAGAGCAGTGAGGGCAGCAAAAATGGAGAGCACCTGAGGAAGGGTTAAGGGAGTTGGGTTTGTTCAGCCTTCAGAAGAGGCTCAGGGGTGACCTCATGGCTCTCTCCAACTCCCTGACAGGGTTGGAGAGAGGTGGGGGATGTCTCTCCTGCCATGGCTGCAGGGAGAGGACTAGAGGGAATGGCATTGGAATAGGCATTGGAATATTGCCCAGGGCAGTGGTAGAGTCACCATCCCTGGAGGTGTTTAAGAGGTATCTGGTCCTGATGCTGAAGGATATGATTTAGGGTTTAGGGGTTACAACAGTGACAGGTTAATGTTTTGGCTTGATGATTCTAGAGGTCTCTTCCGGCCTTGATGTTTCTATGATTTAAAGCCCAGTGATGCTCCCATGCTGCACTGGTGGTTTGAAAGACTCACCTTCAACAAAAATTGCAGCTTCTGTTTTTATATCTCCTCCTTCAAACCTGTATTTCCCAGCATGAATATCTTCTGCTCTATTAATAATGAGTTTGTGGACTAGGCCATTCTTTTCAAAGATGACTCCATCCATGCTTGTCAGCTATAAGGGAAAGGACAGAGACCCATTCTTAAAAAAACCCAAAACAAAACAGGGGAAAATGCAATCCAAAGTGAAACCTGACAGAGATAAATCAGAAATGCAACTGAAAAGACTTAGGAATGTCACATGTGTCACAATAATACAATAATTGTACTCTAAGTACAATAATAATCTGGTGGTCTGTTGCTCAGAGAGGTTGTAGATGCCTCATCCCTGGGAGTGTTCCAGGCCAGGTTGGACAGGGCTTGGAGCAACCTGGGCTAGTGGGAATTGTCCCTGCCCATGGCAGGAGGTGGCTCTCGGCAGACTAGAAGGTCCCTTCCATCTCAAACCATTCCAGGATTCTGGAGCCCCTCAGTCCTGGAGCCATGGGAGAGCTGGGAGTGTTCACCTGGAGAAGAGAAGCTCCAGGGAGACATCAGAGCCCCTTCCAGTGCCTAAAGGGGCTCCAAGAGAGCTGAGAGGTATTTGGGACAAGGGATGGGGGGAGAGGACACAGGGAATGGCTTTCCACCGCCCGAGGGGAGCGACCGAAGGGCCCAGAGCAGCTGTGCCTGCTCCATCCCTGGGAGTGTTCCAGGTGAGGTTAGACAGGGCTTGGAGCAACCTGGGCTGGTGGAGGTGTCCCTGCCCATGGCAGGAGGTGGGATGAGATAAGCTTTAAGGTCCCTCCAGCCCAAACCAGTCTGGGATTCTGTGGTTCTATGAACCCTCCCAGGGCCACACTCAGACTGCAGAGGACTGGCAGAGTGAAGGACACCTTGACATGACACTGAAGAAGTAGAACCAGAGAGCAGAGAATCACTAAGCAAAGAGAACAGGAAGAGAGGGGACACCCACCTTTAATCCATCTTTAAACCAGGTTCCTGTCACATCATCTTTGCTGACAGTGCAGGAGAGCTCAGCTGGTTCTCCCTTCACCACTCGGACGTTCAGCAGCTGCTTGTTGAGGTAACACCGTGGTGCTGAGCATTCACAAGGGAAAAGGATGGTCAGATGCTATCTCTGAGACAGCTGACAGACAGAGAGACATGCCCAGAGGAAAATGCATGTGCACAGGAGGAGAAAAGAGCTTTTTAAACAATCTATGCTGTGAACATATCTGACCTAACCTCCCCTGGCACAGCTTCAGACCATTCCCTTAAGTCCTGTCACTGGTCCCAGAGCAGAGCTCAGAGCTGCCCCTCCACTTCCTCCCATGAGGAAGTTATATACAGCCATGAGGTCTCCTCTCAGTCTCCTCTTTTCCAGCTGAACAGCTCAAGTCCCTCAGCCACGCATGTGGCTTTCCCCAAGGCCCTTCACCATCTTTGTTGCCTCCTTTGGACACTCTCTAGTAGCTTTAGATCCTTTTTGTATTCAGGTGCCCCAAACTGCACACAACACTCAAGGTGAGGCTGCCCCAGCACAGAGCAGAGCAGGACAATCCTCTCCCTCTCCCTCTGGCAATGCCTTGCCTGGTATACCCCTACATAGAGCTATATTTGTCTAAACCATAAAGTTCCATTTCTCTCCAAGGTCAGGAATGTGAGTATCAAAATGCAAAGACCAGAAGTCATCAGTGATGACTTACCTTTGAGATCATCCAGGAAGAGGCGTCTTCTTTGGCCAGTACTTTCCAAATTGTTGAGGAAACCCTTGGCTTTGCTATCAAAGTCATGTTCCTGGTTCCTCTCTTTCATTGCAAGGAGTCCACTAAGAAGACTTGATCCCTGCCCAGAACTCCATGAACCTGGCCCAAAGCCACCTAGGCTACTCCCATCCACAGATCTGTTAGGGGGTTTACTCCATGCCCCTCCAAAGGCAGAAGTTTTGCCATAATGGGAGCCTAAGTGTCCTGAACCTCTTCCCTCCCCCCTGGCATCTCCTTGGCCTGACAGGGACCCTCTGTCATCAGCTGCACCTTTGTTCCCTGCCCCTCTGGCATCACTGGCTGTGCCCTTTCCAGTGTCACCTCCCAAAGATTTGCCAGAATGGGAATCCAACCCATATTCACCACCTGGTCCACCAGCACCTCCCACACCTTCTCTACCATGGACCAAGCCTCTCTCATCCCCTCCCAACCTTCCAACACCTCCTGCTCCAGCCCTGGCTCCAGCTGCCCCACTGTCCTTGCCATGGGCAGTCCCAGCACCCCACACTGCAGAGCCACCACCTTCCAGGGAGAAACCTTCTCCTCCTGCTCCACCTGCATGTCCCAGAACTCTGCCATGGGGAGATCCCAAAGCTCCCTCCCCTCCGAAAGGAGAGTGAGCAGCTCCTGCCACAGCCCCAGCTGGGAGCCCATCCTTTCCATAGGGAGAACCAGCACCTGCTCCAGCTGGGAGCCCATCCTTTCCATAGGGAGAACCAGCACCTGCTCCAGCTGGGAGCCCATCCTTTCCATAGGGAGAACCAGCACCTGCTCCAGCTGGGAGCCCATCCTTTCCATAGGGAGAGCCAGAACTTGCTCCAGCTGGGAGCCCATCCTTTCCATAGGGAGAACCAACACCCCCTGCACCAGCACCACCAACACTTGCTCCAGCTGGGAGTCCATCCTTTCCATAGGGAGACCCAACTCCCCCTGCACCAGCTACACCAGCACCACCAGCCCCAGCCCCAGCCCCAGCCTGGAGACCATCCTTTCCATAAGCAGACCCAATTCCTCCTGCACCAGCACCACCAGCACCTGCTCCAGCTTGGAGACCATCCCTTCCATAGGGAGAACCAACACCACCAGCACCATCCACACCTGCTCCAACTGGAAGACCATCCTTTCCATAGGGAGCACCAACACCCCCTGCACCAGCTACACCCACATCCTTTCCATAGGGAGCACCAACACCCCCTGCACCAGCTCCACCCACTCCAGCTGGGAGTCCATCCTTTCCATAGGGAGACCCAACTCCCCCTGCACCAGCCCCACCAGCACTTGTTCCAACTGGGAGTCCATCCTTTCCATAGGGAGACCCAGCTCCCCCTGCACCAGCTACACCAGCACCACCAGCCCCAGCTCCAGCTGGAAGACCATCCTTTCCATAGGCAGACCCAATTCCTCCTGCACCAGCTACACCAGCCCCAGCTCCAGCTCCAGCTGGGAGCCCATCCTTTCCATATGGAGACCCAGCTCCCCCTGGACCAGCTACACCAGCCCCACCCACACCTGCTCCAACTGGCACACCATCCTTTCCATACAGAGATCCAACTCCCCCTGCACCAGCTCCACCAGCCCCAACCCCAGCTCCAGTTGGGAGTCCATCCTTTCCATATGGAGACCCAACTCCTCCTGCACCAGCACCACCTGCTCCAGCTGGGAAACTATCCATTCCATTCAGAGACCGAACACCTCCAAAACCACCACCTGCAGCTCCACCAATGCCTGGTCCAGCAGGGAGCCCATTCTTTCCACATGGATACCCAAGTCCTCCTGCATCAGCTACACCAACACCACCAGCACCAGCAAACCCAGTCCCAGCTGGGAGCCCATCCTTTCCATAGGGAGACCCAGCTCCCCCTGCACCAGCTACACCAGCACCACCAGTACCAGCCCCAGCTGGGAGCCCATCCTTTCCATAGGGAGACCCAGCTCCCCCTGCACCAGCTACACCAGCACCACCAGTACCAGCCCCAGCTGGGAGCCCATCCTTTCCATAGGGAGACCCAGCTCCCCCTGCACCAGCTACACCAGCACCACCAGTACCAGCCCCAGCTGGGAGCCCATCCTTTCCATAGGGAGACCCAGCTCCCCCTGCACCAGCTACACCAGCACCACCAGTACCAGCCCCAGCTGGGAGCCCATCCTTTCCATAGGGAGACCCAGCTCCCCCTGCACCAGCTACACCAGCACCACCAGTACCAGCCCCAGCTGGGAGCCCATCCTTTCCATAGGGAGACCCAGCTCCCCCTGCACCAGCTACACCAGCACCACCAGTACCAGCCCCAGCTGGGAGCCCATCCTTTCCATAGGGAGACCCAGCTCCCCCTGCACCAGCTACACCAGCACCACCAGTACCAGCCCCAGCTGGGAGCCCATCCTTTCCATAGGGAGACCCAGCTCCCCCTGCACCAGCTACACCAGCACCACCAGTACCAGCCCCAGCTGGGAGCCCATCCTTTCCACAGGGAGATCCAACTGCCCCTGCACCAGCACCACCTACACCTGCTCCAACTGGAGGACCATCCTTTCCATAGAAAGGACCAACTCCTCCTGCACCTGCACCAGCACCACCAGCCCCAGCCCCACCTCCAGCTGGGAGCCCATCCTTTCCATAGGGAGACCCAACTCCTCCTGGACCAGCTATACCAGCTCCACCCACACCTGCTCCAACTGGAAGACCATCCTTTCCATACAGGGACCCAAATCCCCCTGCACCAGCCCCACCAACACCTGCTCCAACTGGCACACCATCCTTTCCATAGGGAGACCCAAATCCCCCTGCACCAGCTACACCACCAGCACCTGCTCCAACTGGCCGACCATCTGGACCATACAACGCCTCCATTCCTCCTGTGAAACTGCCACCTGCCCCAGGTACAGCCCCACCTCCACCTGGAAGGCCTCCTGGGCCATACAGTGAGCCTGACCCTCCTGCCTGACCTAACTGGCCACTGGCAGGAGGTGCCAGACCATCCTTGCCATAGAGTGGCCCTGCCTGTCCCTCTCTGTTTATACTTGCTCCGTTCAGCTCACCCACAGTTGGGTGACCATCCTTGCCAAGGGAGGACATCATTCCTCCTGCCATCTCAGTCCCTGCAGCATTCCTCCAAGCTCCAGTCCCTGGACCAGTCCTACTGAACACATCCCCCATACCATCTCCCACTCTGGTTGAATCAGGATCGAGTCCATCTAGCACAGAACTTCCATCAGTGGCACCTACCCTCCCAACACCCCCAAAGCCACCTCTGGAACTGGTATCACCTAAACTCCCAGCCTTGTCATGCTGAGAGCCCATACCTGCTCCATCATCCCTGCTCATGCCAACATCACCCAGCACACCTTCCCCTCTGCCATCCACAGAATTCCATTCACCTGCTCCTCCCACTCCATCACCAGGCCCTGCCCTGCCTGTCATAGAGTCGTTGCCTTGGGAAGATCTTAACCCACTTTTGCCTCCAAAGACACTACCATCATTTGCCATTGAGTCTCCACCTAGATCTGCTCCAGAAAACTGCCCAGACCCAGAGCCCATCCCTCCATTCAGGTGGGTTTTGCGTAGCCCTTCCTTTCCCAAAAATCCATAGCTTCCATCATCAGTATCCATGGAATGGCCTTGCCCACTGCCTTGCCCCCTGCCTTGCCCCCTGCCTTGCCCCTTTCTCTGCCAGCCAGTTGTTTCTACACCAGTGTCCATGAGATGATCTTCATCACCACCATGTTCTCGGCGCAGTTTCTTAGCCTTTTCGCTGTCAGCCAATGTTTCTTTCAGCCACTCAGACTTCTCTCTTTCATCTTCTTCTTCCTGTCTCCTCTTGCCTTTGGCATCTGTATGGAAGTTGGAATGTTTGGTTGGAGCAGATATCATTTACAGGAAAAGAGAGGGGAAAAAACAGACAATCAATAGGTCATGAACTGCATCAACAACCATGTGTTAGCACTGGTTATCATTTCATTTTAGGACACTGACACAATACATTTAAATAAGCTTAAATTTAGCTCAAATACTGATTTTTTTTTTCAGTGTCACATTCAGACACTTCAAAGTTAGCTACAGACAATTCATTTCAGTTCAAACAGACAGTTATTTGTAGTGGAAACATGCTTGGAATAGCAAACAAACCAACCAAGACCAGCAGAAAAGCAAACTTCCAGCATGCCAGGTGGGATTTAGGGGGGCTTAGGTTGTATCTGGGACTCATTAGTCCCTTTTGCCTTCTCCCTCCAGCCCTGGAGGAGTTGCAGAGTGTTCCATGCACAGAGGAGCCATCAGTTCCCACCCTTGGACTAGGATCTCACTGCTACAGAGGGAGTTAGCACAGGTGCCATGCAGCCCTTCCAGGGATGGCCAAGCTGAGGGCTAAAGACTCAGATCTGAGAACAGCTTGGTATCAACCCCAGACTGAGGCTTGTGTGAGGGCAGGTCACTGATTGCTTTGATTTCCAGGCTGGATCTCATTTACCAGAGCATCCACAGCTCAATGGAATCCTTGGATAGTTCCTTTGTTTCACAAACCTGCACTGATTTGGAAAGGTCATCAAAAAAGCCTTTCTGAGAGAGACCTTTAGGTGCTGCAGGATCCCAAAGGGACCCACAGTCAAAGGGACTAAAATATCTACCTTTCGGAAGCAAAAAAGTATAAGGCAGCTAACTGATAATGTGATTGCACTGAGTGCTCTCATCTTCCTCTGAGCTCCTTCTGTCACAGTATCAGTGTGTTAAGGGGTCAGAATGGAGCTTAGGGATCATCCAGTCCCAACTTCCTGCCCTGGGCAGGGAAACCTCCCACCAGGGCAAGTTGCTCCAAGCCCTGTCCAACCTGGCCTGGAACACTCCCAGGGATGGAGCAGACACAGCTGCTCTGGATAACCTGTGCCAGTGTCTCACCACCCTCACAGGGAGGAATTCCTCCCAATATCCCATCTGTCCCTGCCCTCTGGCAGTGGGAAGCCATTCCCTGTGTCCTGTCCCTCCATCCCTTGTCCCAAGTCCCTCTGCAGCTCTCTTGGAGCCCCTTTAGGCACTGGGAGGGGCTCTAAGTTCTCCCTGGAGCTTCTTTTTTCCAGGCTGGACACCCCTAGCTCTCTCAGCCAAAACTTAGGAACTAGAGGCTCAGCAATTCGTTTTTCAGCTGAGAACCATCTCACTGAGCAATCAGGCAGTGAGAGGAACATCCATGTGTTAACACACCTCAAGCCACACCAGGGAACACCACTCTGCCACTCACACTCCACCACAAGCCACGCGCTGGACGAGCCGTGTCCCGCGTCCAGAGTGTACATGCCACTGTCTGAGGGCACCACGTTCTTGACTGTCAGCTTGTGGGTCAGCCCATCAGGTGAGACAGAGATCTGGTGCTTGTCACCCCTCACCAGAGGGTGGGCCTTGTGCAGCCACACGGCCTCGTGGCAGGGCGTGCGCAGGACACACTTGAACACGGCGTCTCCGTCCTCGGCACAGCGCACGTCCCCGAGCGGCTTGGCAAACCGTGCTGGGATGGCTGCAAGGGAAAAGCAAAGATAGGCACAGGCAACAGAGAGTTTCATAGAATGACATGGAATTTTAGGGGTTGGAATGGACCTTACAGATCATCTAGTCCCAACCTCCCCCCTGCCATGGGCAGGTTCTGTCCTCCAGAAAAAACCTGCTGCAGCTGAGAGGAGAAGGAACAGAAAGTTGTGATGGCTCTGAGCATTGGGTTAATGAGACAATGGAAAACCAGGAGGTGGTTCTGGGGCTCTGTTCTGCTGGATGGAAAAGCAGAAAAGGAGATTTTTGGGCAAGGCAAGGCTAGGGACAGGCAATAGCTGGTTCTGTCCTCTAAGAAAAACTTGTTGCAGCTGAGGGGAGAAGGAACAGTTTCATAGAATGTCATGGAATTTTAGGGGTTGGAATGGACCTTACAGATCATCTAGTCCCAACCTCATCCCTGCAATGGGTAGGTTCTGTCCTCCAGCAAAAACCTGCTGCAGCTGAAGGGAGAAGGAACAGAAAGTTGGGATGGCTCTGAGCATTGGGTTAATGAGACAATGGAAAACCAGGAGGTGGTTCTGGG